TTGGACAGTTCTTAACCCAATTTTAGTAGTTTCTGCAATCTCCTTAGATGTTTTCTCTGCTTGATGCATGCCAATGATTTGACCCTTCTCAAACAGACTAACATCTTTTCCACGACCACGGGATGTGTCTTTCGACATGGTTGTTTAGGAAATGAGAAGCAACTCATTGCACCAGTTGGGGTTAAATAACTTGTTGCCAGCTGAAAGATAATCGCCCATGCAATAATTATCCAATAGGAGGCTCGTACCTATTTGCTTAGTTAAATCCAGGTGGCGACTTTTTTTTTGGCCAGGCAGTGTATATACACACACTTACAGCCTTTGTGAGGCTAACCAGGCAGACAATGAACTGACCGTTCACTGGGACGAGAGTTTCTCTAGAGACGGTCCTTCAGCTCTGTGTCTGTGTGAGTACACCAACAGAAAGTTTTTTTATCTGGGCATCAGATAAGCAACGTGGCCTGGGACACATGAGTGTTCACACTGCTGAAAGAAGACCTTCTTCAAATGTGATCTGAGAGATCAGATCTAAACACACATTAGTGAAGACACATTCGTAGAGCTGTCAACTTGAAATCTGATCACCCAGAATGCATGTTAATACCAGGTGTAAACAGGGCCATATACACATTAGCAAAAAAAAAAACGCACATACCTCTCGAGACAGTCCTCGTAGTTGACAGTGGCCTTGAACCCATAGATGGAAAAAGTGACAATGCTGGCAAAGATGGAGGTTCCACTGTTGATGACAGAAACAACGATGGCCTGGCGCTCAAAGTTGTTGTTGTACTGGTTATAGCTGGCAAAGGCTATGAGTGTCCCAAAACCCAAACCCAAAGAGAAAAAGATCTGAGTGGCCGCATTGATCCATGTAGTAGGGTTGGCAAGCTGTTCCATCTGAATGCAGACAAACACACATGCACATATGGACACAGGTGCAGACACACACGCGCACAAGCACAAAACATTACACGTTACATTTTCAGCATTCATAATACATTTCTTAATAGTTCAGCAGAGGCTTCTCAGGTGAATGCACTGTCTCACTTCCACATTCATAGACTGTTTGAAAATAATGGACAAAGCCACTGTGACATCACCCATTGGTTTCTGGACAACTGTTTGGAAGTCTTGAATTTGGTATTTTGGCTGTCACCATCTTGGTGTTTTGCAGCCTGAATTGGCCATACTTTGACAAAAGGATGGAGTTGTGGAGGAGGGAGGAATGGATTTCACTGAGGACCCCACACCCACCTACACCAGAAACAAGATGCATCCATAATTTACGTTAAATGTGATATTAATTGGGATGCTAGCAAAAAACAGGCATGAAACAAAAAGTATTTTTTAGTACAACTGATCACTGAACAAAACCAAAATGTTATAATTAGCTTTGATAAAGTGAAAACACAGTGTGAAAGAGAGTCTGAAAGAGTTCTGAAACCAGGGTCAAATTTCCACACTGTGGAAAACAATAAACGTCATTTATGGGCATGCCACGTCTGTCTTCTACTCTCTGCATTGGTGTTTCACTAAGGCCCAGATCACACAGAAAACCTTTTGGCAGCTGGAGGCGGCTTTTTGTAATTGTTTTTAATGAGAATAAAGCTTTTTGCTCGCTCTTTTGGCATTACTACACCCCCCAGAGTGCTCTGAACTTGAGGTGAAAAAATTTCAACTCAGAACAAAAAAGCACCCCCCCGTCACCTCTACATTTTTCCCATTGTCCAAACAGATGATTTGAGAGGCGGGCCTTCTGTGGTGGTAATGATGACCTGTTTACAGTTGGTTAACAATAGAGGAGAAACTGGTGTTAGCAGTTGCTGGATACTAGGGCATTAACAACTTTGATTTTTTTCAAGTCGACTTATCTGTCAATAAAATCGAGTTGAGTCGACAAGTCATTTGATGACGTCATCACATTGACACGGCGGAGGAAATAATACATTTTATTTAAAAGCACCTGTCTCAACACTCAAGGACAATTACAGAGCATTAAAAACACAATTAAAATAACAATTAAAATAAATAAAAACAACAGACAAGAGTGACACAAAGTAAAAATGGATGTGGGCAATTAAAGGGAATATGCAATTTGGAACAGATGGGTTTTAAGTTGTGATTTGAAATGGGGTAGGGAGTCCATGTTTCTGAGGTCCGGGGGGAGAGAGTTCCAGAGTTTGGGAGCAGAGCGACTGAAAGCTCTGCTCCCCTGCTGAGCCAGGCGGGGGGCACAGAGAGGTGGAGGGAGGAGGACGACCTGAGGGAGCGAGAGGGGGTGGCGATGTGGAGGAGATCAGACAGATGGGGGGGGNGGAGGAGGACGACCTGAGGAAGCGAGAGGGGGTGGCGATGTGGAGGAGATCAGACAGGTAGGGGGGGGCGAGGTTGTGAATGGCCTTGAAAGTATACAGAAGGATTTTGTAATGGATTCTGAATTTGACTGGAAGCCAGTGAAGCTGCTGGAGGACAGGGGTGATGTGGTGAAAGGAGGGGGTTCTGGTAATAATGCGGGCTGCAGAGTTTTGGACCAGTTGAAGCTTATGGAGGGATTTGTGACGGGCACCAAGGAGGAGTGAGTTAAGTTACCGGTGAGTAGCGGCAGCAAGACGCGCCAGCGTCCACTTAACCCAACTGAGAAAGTGAAGTATCTCCACACATGTGATGTGTGTCTGTCAAGGCCCGAACATACTCGGGCGGAACGTATGCGGAACGTGGTCCACGTGGACTCAAAGTGGACGTCCGCAAGCCCTGTGCGCGCAAAGCTCAGATTCTACAACCGCGCGGACTCCGCTCCGCGCACCAGTGACTGCTCAGCATGTATTTTTCACATCGCGGGGATTTTTCACAGACATTTTTAAAGGAAACTACAACACGGAAGTGCGCTCGACTATGAAAGCCCGAATAACTGCGGACATTGACTTTTCTGTTAATGCCCTACTGGATACCCAGAGCTATATGGCCCAACTATAGACAGCAGGTTGTCAAACTGTCAATTCAATTAAAAAAAAAAAGGCAGTGCGGTGTGCCTCACATTTTGCAGCCTGCAAAGTTCTTTGTGGGTTGGGGCTGAAGGGCAGAGCTCTGCTTGAATTTGTACTTGTTGAATTAATTCATCCATCACATGATAGTTTTTAGATGGCAAAATGTGCTGGGATTGTACATTTTACATGAAATAGGCTCCTCACCTGCATCGTTTAACTCTTAGCCTTCATGAGTGCATCAATGTTAGGTGTGCAGAGTCATCCAGTAGGCCGGATTGGACCCTTTGACAGACCGGTTCTGGCCCGCGGGTTGTATGTTTGGGGCCTAAAACATGACCTGCTCTATTGTCCATTTTACTCTAAATGGGACCATGATCTACAAAATAAACATCATGTGCTTGATTAAGGAAGACGTGACACTAGCAATTGAGACCGTACACTCAATAGGAAAATGTTTACTGAGGTAATAAATCAAGTGAGAAGTGTATCACAGACAAAGACTCCCCCTCCTGCCAGCAATTAGTTAGGTAAACCCAAGGCTGTAATGCAAAGCCCCCATACACTGTACTGCATGTCTGTATGCCTATTGCCAAATCTCAAACACAAACTTACCTTTGGTGTGAACATGTATTTGACACCATTGATGGCACCATGAAGAGTGACGCCCCGGATCAGGTAGATGAAGAGGACCACATATGGAAATGTGGCTGTGAAGTACACAACCTCGAGATGGAGCCAAACAGCAAAGTTAGGGTAAAAGTTCAAATATGGGAGTGAATGTGTGGGGAGGAGGTAGTATATAATTCCATCATATCCCCACAATCATTCCTCTTGTCTGGTCAAAGTAAAACGAAAACACTTGCATGCTTCATAATTTCTTAAATGCACATTCTTTTAGTTGGTCGGATAGGTCCACAGGTCTATTACAAATATTTCAATTGTTAGTTCCTGTGATTGTACCTGATTGGATGACCAAAGACATTTCATATGGCTAACAAATATATAAGAATACAAAAATAGTTTTCTGTAGTTTTAAGTTGAGATTTCATCACTTGACATACTAGATCAAAGTCCTCTTAGTGGCCTTAGGCTATATTAAACTAATTGTTGATTGTGGTTAACGTTAATGTACAGTATTGTTAGACACTTAATACTGGTAACATGAATATGACCTATCTTTCATTCCATAAATGTCATTTCTACATACTAAATTAAGATGATTATTATTCCACTAATGTAGAATCCTATGCAGTTCATGAGGATAATGATTTGGCTACGTGTTGAGGGGCAAATGTAAACTGTATGATTTGAGTTTGACACAAAGAATGTATGTAATATTTTCAATAAAATGAATAAATAAAAATACTGATCATTATTTATAACTTTGTTTTGACATATTCATTTTTATCATTACATAAAGTATATCCCTAGTCCTTGATTTTTCAAGTGTATTAAAAGCTTGTAAGTTTCATCTGGCAGACTAGAACCAACCATGTACAGTGAGGACTACCTTTCAGTATCTATGTCCAGCCCAGTCTCATTCCAAAGTCATCAAATACCGCTGATACGTCAGTGATTTCAGTGTCACCTGATGCCAAAAGTGACCTTTCGTGGTGGTGTGATGCGCTTTTAATGTGGCCTGACAGTAACCTTTTGCGGTGTTATGATACACTATCGGTCAGCCCCTGTCACAGCATAATGCTATGCAGACGGGTGGTGTCAGTTCATGATGTGGCTGTATGGCACCTGTTGCAGCAGCATGATATGCAGCTAGACAGCATCAGGTTGAAATTCTTTTATTTATTTTTTTATTCATTTTATATACTTAAATCCCCCTCGGGCTGGAGCATAATGCCATGCCGGAGGAGAACGCCGACCTGTCCCCCCCGCCGTATGGAGCAACAACCCAATGCTGCGGGGATGCAGACACGCAGCAATCTCATTCGAAGTCACTTCTTGTGAGCTGTTTGGTATATGCATTTATTTTTCTATTTTCATTCAGTAATATGTAATGCAGAAATACATCTTGATTAAACATATGCTGTAGATTAGAATACAAGTGCTAGTGTGACCCAATAAACTGCAGAGCATTGCAAAGTTAAGCAAATCAACATTTACTGAAAAAAAGACAATTGAAATCACTTTCTAGATTCAAACATTATTATCAAACGAAATACACAGTCTTATTAACGTCTAATTACGTTAAGCCACGCAAAATCACATTAAAGACACATTGTTTCAGTCACAAAATATATTAGGCTATAGCTCTAACATTTATCGTGGCAAAAAAAACAAAACTAAACAGTTTTTTATCGTATAGCCTATTTTACACAAAATTAATATTCACAGCCAATATAAGAAAACTTAAACGTGACAGTTGAGTGTATTATTTGTGTTTCCTTTTACGCAGGTGGAACTTGCTCGCTGTGCGCACCTCTCCTCCCTCTCCAGTCCCTGGCTGTGGGTCAGAGGCATCTCATCTACTGTGCCCCCACCTGTTTTATTTGCAGAGGATTTATTATATGCCAATTTTTCTTTTGTTCTTCTTCTGATATCTTGATATCTTCTTTTCACTTCATCCACTGTCCGCATCGTTTTACCAACAGCATTTACTTTTTCACAGATTTCTTCCCATATAGCGTTCCTTTGTGAGACAGTCAGGTTTCTTTGCTGTAGCTCATTTAAGTGTTAATTGGCCTCATCTACCAACACCTCTAATTCCATAGGGTCGAATATCACTTTGCGCTTTCTCTCCAAACTCGCCATGCTGCAAACTACCATGTCATCAAGATATCTTAATGACAACTCAAAATGGTACCACTTTACTTGAGGTCAAAGAATTTATTCATTACACTGTCATAATGGTGTGATGACAGCCAGTTTTGTGTCCTATCCTGCCAGACATCTATCTGACCGAGTGTTAGAATCGGTCTGTAACCTTGGACATCTTTTTATAATAATCATTATGTCACCTTGTCATAAACACAAAAAGAGGTGCAATTTTTGTTCATGTCAAGTTGTTATGACAAAGACATCTTCTGGTAATATCATCCTGGTTAATGCCAAGTTGTCATAATAAGGACATCCCAAACAAATTTAATGTCAAGTTGTCATGACAAAGACAACTTCTGGTAATGTCACTTTAATTAATGTCAAGTTGTCAAAATCAAGACAACCCAAACAATGTCAACTTGTCATTACAAAAACCGAATTACACCTTAAGCAACACAAAGGAGGATTGCACTTTTTACCTCACGGGGTCCCCCTACAACGGCATTGTCTGTTACAACTATTGCAAAATATTTTCTGCGCGTGCATTTGTTGACAAGCCAACGATACCGGTGAACATCCTGAAGCTGGCCGTGTAATGCGCAATCATTATGTACATACATGATTAGGCTGATTGCTTTATTTATTTATTCATTTTCGAAACTCAGAAATGAGTTGCTCTCTGCATGTCAGGGCTGACCTCCTCACAGCGCGCGCACACACACACACACACACACACACTATGAGGGGTCAAACGTTTCACCCAACCACACTACAACATGTCACTTGCGCCTACTTAGGACACATCAGATCTAATCAAACTGTGTGAGCGCACGCCTACATTTTACATAGGGTTACTATGGAGACACGAGTGTTACACGCATGCCTGCTACATGACGCGCAGGCGTTGTTCGCTCCACTCGCATGACTCGCTCACATGTCTTTTCAGGACGAGTGCACAGCGCGTGACAAACGGCACATATAGGCTACACTACACCTGTGTGTGCGTGTGAATCTCGCACACACACAGTGCATGTACACATCATTAACACCTGAATGCGTCAAATTACTTTGGCAAACTGTCCGTCTCCACAGTTTACACGTGCAGGCAGGCGTGTGTGTGTGCTTCACAACTGACATCTTTGACCCCAGCACTCACACAACGCGTGTATGCATGGACGCGTCTTTTTTCTTCTTATTTCTCATAAATCCATATATGTAGGGTTGCCTTTCTTTGCTTTTAAGTCTGCATCCTAGTCTCTTTATCCTGGATCGATCCAGCGCCACGAGCCTAGACCCCGGGGGAGGGTCTCGTTGATCCGGCCAGTTAAGAGTTTGTTTTAAAGTATGACATCTCAAGTGTTTGTGTTATATTTGCAGTCCTGTCAATTATAACTAAAAGCCGAGCGCACTCAAAAACCTCGCTCCGTGCGGTGCTTTCTGTCTGTGGAGTGCACATCTTTAAAAAAATGTTTGAAAGAAAAGTAACCAAAGATAAGGTGTCATATTGAAGTTTCGTTTGAAAAAAGTATAATTTGAATTTTGAAACTTGTTTTGTTGATGTTTTTTTGTAATAAATTTCTTTTTTTTGGACTTCAAACATTTTCTCAGCGCATTATTGATCACGCGAGTTAAGACTGAAGCCAGCCGCCACCTGTAGAAAGTGGTTCTAAACACAATAAAGCCTATAGTTTGGGAAAGTATAACACAGAAGTCTGCTGGTTTTAATCCGCTCGTACCCTATTACGCTATTAATTAATAATTAAAATTGAATGACCCAAATCCGTGGATATCACAGGTTGAGGTGGAGCAGGTCGCTGTTTAATGATAAATCTGTGAAGCTGTCCATGGTGCTGAATTAACACACCTCATTTTAATCCACCTCAACCTGTGACCAGGAGGGTGAAACTCTCTACTCTGCAATGCATTCAAATAGTTTGATACCTTTTAAAAATCTAATACTCCATGTAAATTATGGGGTAATATTTTCAGTCACAATGCTAACAGTCTACTCAGACTACCATATGCTGGAATCACTCTAAACGTTAAATAGACATACATTTACAGTTTACATTAAAAATATAACAATTTCAT